TTTTCTACTTCCTTCGTGACATTTGGGATATGTACACAACAGTGATCATCCCTTCCTTGTAAATATCCACAAACTCCATGTTCCTTTAATAAGAGCAAGGAGAAGAGGTAGTGTCTTTCCATTTTTAAATTAGGAATGGACATTCCAAGACTGATTTAAAAAGCTCAAGAGCTCTCTTATTTGATGCTGTTTTGGTTTGAAAGACAGGTATGGTCTAAGGAAAGGCAGGAGCCCCTTTTCTGCGATGCAGAGTGCAACCCCCCTCCCTTTTAATTATTTTAGGTCCAATTCAGACGCCTTCAGGCAGGAGATATGGGGATAAGAATAACAGTTCTTTACTGGTATCTAACAAGGCAGAAAACAACAACAGCTATAAAAATTGGCAACAGAACAGTCTAGCTCCGCTCCAGTCCCTTTTGGCCGCAGGCCATCTCCCTGTGCTGTTACCGGTGCTGTGGGGGCAGGGCAGGTCCCGCGCAGTTGAAGAGGGCTGGAGTGATGGCGGCCACGGCCCAGGGGTGAGAGGGGATGGGGAAAGTGACTCCCCCCTCACGGTGTCGGTCGTGGTGCTCAGCAGAGTGTCCGGAGGTAGTAGGGTGAGATGGGAGAGCAGCAGAGCAATGTCCAAAGGCAGGGAGCGTGGATCTCAGTGCTGGGATGGCAGGGGGAGATGCCAGGGCGGAGCCCAGGTTGTCTTCCCACTCCAGAGCCAAGTGAGAGAGAGTCCCCCGCTCCAGACCCCCCGTCCCACCTTTCCTTTTCCGGTCCCCCCCCTCCCCCTCCAGCCACCCGCCTACGAGAGAACATTATCTGTCGTTTTAAGGTGTAGCCACAATTACTTAGCATAACAATGGGAGAAAATTCCACTGAAAGAAAAGGGAATAATTCAACCTCCAACAGACGCTTTTTGTCATCTGAGGTTGTTGCATTTATCAAAGTGAGCTGCGAAAAAAACCCTATAAAAGTGCAATTTTTTTGATCTCACTAGCAGGAGTTTCAAGATGACACTAAATGTGGTTCAACATTAGAAAAACTCTATTGTTGGAACTTCTGCATTAGGTAGGCAGAGCCTTAGGTAATTATGGATGTGTTAGGCTGGAATTTTCAGGGATCTTCATGAGAGTTAGAATTTAAAATCTCCTGAATTTTATATCCTTCAAATTTCCCAGTTAGCTCTGGTAGCAGCAGCATCTTGCACTACTTAGTTTTGAAAAAGGTGAGTTGACCCTCAGACAGAAAAATTTTCAGTGGAAGAGCTATTTCTGTCCCTGCTTACTGACAGTGAACATATAACAGAGCATTTCTATCATCAACAGTTCCTTTCCTTCTCTTTTCCACCCTCAGATTCCAGGAGTGGGTGGTGACAGCTTGAAGTGATTAGATATATTTTCAGATACCTATTCATTTTGAATTAAAAAAAAAGTGTTTTTCCATGCCACTACTAACTTATGAATTTTAAGTGTTTCTATAGATGTTTTAGTAAAGCTGCCACAGTTATTTACTTCTATTATTCACTCCAGTTTAAAACTTCCACAGTGTGTGTTCCTTTTGTTTTCTCATTACATGAACTTCTGCAAGGTCCAGATTACTGTACAAGTAATAACGAAAAACAAATTTTCCCATGCATGGACAGATATACCACAAGTGGTGGTTTATACTGGAAATTGGATTTCACTGAGTACAGCAAGGGACAATATTCACGAAGGGCCTTGCTGGAGCATTGCCAGGGAGTCAGTTGTAAAGGCTGGAGAAAGGATCAGATGTCACCCCACCCTTCGTAGCACACATGCATAATAACCATAACCATAATAACACATGCATAATTTACTGGATACTAATTCTCACTTCCTTATAAAATTCAAAGTTGCAGTAAACTTCCCCAGGATATTTTCCTGATTTATTATGCTCATATTTATCTATTCACAATGGAGATGCAGTGATGTATGAGTTGCATAAGGAATTGAATTGCAGTGTGCATTTCTTGAAGAATTTCTGATCCCAACCAAAATGGTTAAGCAAAACCTATGTATTATTTTTGAAGAATGAGAAAAAGCTAAGCAAAAATAAAGGGCATCTCGTCCCCATGAGAAAGCAGGGGGAAAATTACCATCTCAGCTTATTCTCATTAGGCTAATCTGCTGCAGTGGAGAAAACGTTAACATTTCATACAATTAATTAATATACTATTACTGTGCTGGGGTACAAGAGAATGTGGAGTCTGTTTCTGCACCCTTTGTGTCTAAATTTTTTTGACCTCACACAGCACAGAAAGCTTTCTACAGGCATGGCTATAATATTGTCAGGCTTTGTAGCTAAATGAAAAGTTTGTACATTAATTCTATCAATTTCCATAATTTGCTGTAGATAGTGACCAACTGTGAGAAGATTTGATGTCCTGTATGCTCTTCCAGTATCCATTCCACAAGAAAGACCACAGGTCATCAAATAGGTTAAAAGTGAGGTGATGAAGCTACTTTTCTTCCAGCTGGATGAAAGATTAAGCAGAGGCAACATAGGCAGTGAGGTTTAAAATGCAGATGCTACCTGAGAAGAGGTATGTTCCCAAACATTTTTGAGTATTTGTCTGGGTACTTAACTGAGCTGAGACATGATGTGAGGTCTTTTCCAAGCTTTCAGTATGAGTCTGTGTTCCCTCGATCACCCTCAGGGTCTGATTCACAGAATACTCGAGCATTATATGGCTTTCAAGAGCCCCAAAATGCCTCAGAAGGCAGAAGACTTCCGGCATTCCACTGACAGTTTCAGGGAGTCATATGACTTATCATGTCTAAAATAGATAATATTTTAAAAAAATTAAAATAAAAAATCTTCCCAATATAGTTGTACGGGGGCAAAAAATAGCACCTAGGGCAAGCTTGGTTTATTTCTTTTTTATCAAGCATTCATTTTGAAGGGCAAATTATCTAATTAGTGGGAGCACATCTGCTTCCATTTCTTACAAGGTAGTCTGATTTGTGTGTATTGTGTGTATGCACAAAGGTTTTCAGTTTTAGTCTAGTGTTAATTCCCATTAGGCAAGAGGAAAAAATGTTATGCTTCAGGAAGAGAAAAGTAAGTTGCATGCACTCAAAAACTTCTCTGGAATGGTCTAACTTCTTCTCCTCACATAACAGCCATCTCTGAATAATGAGCAATTTGCTCATTTAAGTTACAATAATGACAGTTCTTATTGATTGTACCTGAGCCCTGATGTGAAGCAAAGCAAGATTTGTTTGTCATGTGCTTTTATATCACAGTTTTTCATTCTATTTTCAAGTTGTGCTCTGCTTAGTATGGAGCAGCATCCTTCATACATAGTGTTTCAGAGAACTATATATTCTGTTGTCTTGAGTCTTGCAATATTTCCCATCTAGAAAAGTCTTATTACAGGACCTGTTGTGGCAGTGTCCATTTTATTGCAGTGGAAAGATCCTTCTGAGATCTGAGGGACCACGTTTTCATTTCTCATTCTTCCCACTTCTTTCAGAGAAACGTAAAAAATGATACAGCAATAGGACTTCTGTTTTCTGACTTCTGTTTTATTACTTAGACATTTCGGAGTTGATGTGAGCTATGATTTGAGAATTCCCAGGAGCAAGACTGCAGCTTTTTTGCCTTTACCACCTGCATTTCTCAAAGTGCCACAGACTTTTATTACAGCCCTATTGGAAATCTCAGGAGTGCCATCCACTCAGAACAGATTGATGTTTTTTTCAATCCTGTGGTCTTAAGAAAGTATAACTGGTCTCATTTTGGTGCATATTATAAAAAGCTGATCATGTTATTAAGATGCAAATGAATCTACTTAATGACAAACCTTTAATGCTGATAAACAGCCTACTCCCATATTCACAGATGTATTATCTTTTTATTTAAACGCCTTTGTTCTCTCATATGTTAAACTTCAAATTTCTAAGGTCAGATCAAGGATGTTCATTGATATTACTGTGCTTGGAAGAAAAAGAAAAAAGTATGAGATACATGGGACCTACTTCTATAAAAAAATTAAAATCTTCTCTGTCTCCTTTGTTCTGAAATAAAAATGATGGCTGTCAGTTCCATTCTAGCTGATACATGTTCATATTGTGTAGTCCTGTTTCCAGCAGCTCTGCAGTGGGTTATAGTCAACTTTCTTGAGAAGATTTTGTCTGCAGTGGCATGTGCTGGAAGCTGTATATATTTTTTTATTATTATAATTTTTTGTTAAATAGAAGTTGTAAAATTTATGTTTAGGGGATGTCTTTTAAGTGCAGTAGACATGGATACATCACAGCAAAAATAGCTAGGAGTTAGGCAGTGGCTGAGGCTTTGTACAGCAGTGACTAGTAGCTTTGAATGCTTCACCTAAGTCCAGGGGCTCAGTTTTCAAAGCGTTGAATCACCTTGTCATAAAACAGGGCCTTTGCTGCTCTTTACCACCCAGATAGAGCACCAGAAATTAACTTAAAAACCAAGATTAATGCACTCAGTAGAGATTGGTAGAGATTTTTCTTCTCTGCAGAGATTGGCAGTCTCTTTGAAACACATTAGATTTGAGTGCAATTTTTTCCTCTAGGAAAAATGTAGCAATGGCAGTATTAAATGTGATGAAGTCATTACTTATGGAGGTGAAATATCACTATTGTACCAAATTGAAATCTTTGTGCTGAGAGATCCCCTTCAAGGAAAATGCATGAGTCTATCAGTACCTCATTTCACCTTGACTAGGGGAAGTACAATCTCCACAAATGGGAGAGATGGGAAAATCTCAAGGAGCTGTAGGAGTGCAGTGTTTTAAGGAAGCAAGATTCCAAGGAGAATAGAAACAGAAGGGGATATTAAGTGTATGATGCAAATGGATACTGACTGCACGTAACAATAAAAAGAATTCAGTTTTCCATTAAATTTTAAGGATTTTCTGGTCTTTCCTTCCTGCCTCCTGTTTTTAAAAATAATTCTGTTTCATGGTGTGCATTGATTAGTTGCCTTTGAGGTAACTGATTACTGGCAAACCAGTTTAGCTTTTGTGTTGAATGAAAATACATTTGAGTAGATAGATGCATGTGGCTAGAAAAGGAAAGAAATGATGGATTTTGTGATGGTAGGAGCAGAAATCAAATTGATCTATGCCTCTCAGAAGAGCAGAGAGGAGAGCAGGTGTGACAGTGGCACAGCTGAATCAGTAACTAATGCAAATGTGGCTACGATGGCAAAGGGGAAGAGCTATTTTGTATAAAAATGTGTTGAGTCTTCCTAATGTTGAATGCTTGTAGGTTCATACTGATTTATTAAATGATGTAGATTTGCCAGCTTGAGGTCACAACTTCAATTCCACTACTGAAATTTAATTTTTCAGTGTATGACTTCTAATTGGCAGGTTTATAGCCTGTGTGATATTGGCACTCAGGGCAGGAGCCAGATGTTGCTGAGGTAGGTGTCACAAAAGATTCTGTAAATCAAATCCTGGTAGTTAGGGGCCTGTTTCTAGTCCAGCTTTCACTGAATTGAGGCACATTTATGTGAGGTGCAATGAAAGGTTATGGTTGCCTAAATATTCTTATAATAGCTCCTAACATTTCTGCCGTTTTGGAAACCTTTAATGTTTGTTATGAAACATTTCAGGTTATTTCGGTGGGGGTTTTGTCTTTTTTTCTTAGCTTTTTCAGTAAGACATACCTTAATACCATCTAATCCAGTTACTCCAGAGTAACTCAGGGCCAGGGCAGTAATTCTCCCAGTATTTTGTGAATTGTTAGTGCCAAGGGAGATGAGGGCAGGGGCGGGTACAAGGCTGGCCAGAATCATTTAAACAAAGCTTAGCAGCCCCTGGAGTGGGGTGCTAAGTGGAGTGTCTGTGGAAGTGCCTTGACTGTGCCAGGAAACTTTTGTTGGGCTCTGCCACACTTGGATCAGGTCTTAAAGGCACAGCTGAGCTGGGGAAGTAGAAGAATATTTGTGTAGAGAGTGGAAGTAGTGTCAATCAGAGGAAATGTGTCTTTGATAACTAGAATTAAATGCAGGTCTCATTACATAGAAGTGCCTGGGGAGCCAAGGGCCTCTGTGCAAAAGATTATTGGGATCTCTTGGGGATCTTGTGATAAATTTCTGCCTAGAGTTATGTATGGCTTCTTTACCTTCCCTCCCTCTTCCTTCAATAGACAAAAATGAAAAAAAGCATGCAGGTAAACAATTTGGAGAAAACACGAAGCAAAAACCTACTTGATGGAGACTAATAAGTAATTATTTAAAGATAGGTCATTTAGTGAGACTAAACAATGATCTAATTGTGTGAATGAGCAATGGCAGAAGTTATTGAAACATCACAAGAATCTCAGGCTAAATTTAGAAGTTTGGTTTCTTTTAGGGCCCAGCACAATTCACAGCTGTGAGAAAGGACTAGTGAAGCATAAAGGGACATATTCTCCTTATGGTTCTCTTTTTCCTTTTCCTTGGGCTAATCAAGCTCAGAGGTGAAATAAGAGGAGGATTTGGAAATAAACCCATGAATTTTTATGACAATTATTTGTTTGGCACACTCTGCAATTATGCTTATATTTTTTTTTGAGACATCTTGCAAAGAAAATATCTGAGTACTGATTTGCATTTTTTGTCTGGTGATATTACCCTGAATATTGACTTCAGTCTGCAGCTAAAATGAGATTAAACAATTGCAAATGCACTGCCTTTTAAAATCCTATATGTTTACAAAAATTAGCTGGTTCATGCTTAATTTCAGCCTCTTTTTTAATAGAGATTGTATTTTGTGATCCAACAACTATCCTAACTAGATAGAGAAGGAAAATTCCCTGAATCTGCTGTTTGCTTTCCAGTATGAATGTGGAAAACATCTATTTTAATGTGCTATGCCAAGAATAAGTTCAGAGTACTTATTCAACAAAGGCAGTTTACCTCATTGTCTAACTGTATCTTAAGCAAAAGCAGGGTTGGAGTCCATTTTTCCTGATTCAAACCTACCTGACAAGTTTGAATATAATGCTGACTTACATTGTGAAAACTGTAGGACTTGTAAAACAAGTTACCTTCAGCATGCCAAAATTAGGCACTTGCTTGACACCTAAACCTTACACACCTTCCAATTGCTTCATTAACCTGAATGAAGCATTTATAGCCTAAATAGTTCACACAAGTTCTTAGGCTCTTTGAAAGACCTCCTGGGAGAACATTTATCTCTTTACTTCAGGCTCTTAGCTGAGCAGACACACATGCCCCTTCAGGAAACAAAAACATTAGTTCCCTAACTAATTGTGAAGTTGCGCAATGCTGACGGTTGGGGATGGGAAAAATTCCTAATTGGGGCAGGGAAATGGTTGCAAATCTAGTGGTTCTCCAGATGATTTATAAAATACAGACTGATCTAACCCTCAGTTCCGATGAAATCACAGTCCACTTGAGATTGCTCTCACATATTATTAGAAGTACTTTTAAGAGGGAGCATTACATCAGTGATAATTGCTTGTCATTGTTCAGAAAATACTAAGCTGCAACAACAGACCATGAACACGTGAGTATTCTGTACTCAGAACACTTGTAAGATAGTCCCATGGGCCGCATTGGACTTCAGTTATTATTTTACTTCATCTTGCATTTTGTAGGAGAGGCTGACAAAGCATAATAATAACAACAACAACAACAATAATTTATTATTTTTAGTCTTGTGTCTGGCTATTACTCTTCAGTGTATTTTGTATCATGTTCATATAGTATACGTAATCACCTGTTTTGTTAATATTCATTTAGTATAAGGATCAAGATAACTCAAGTGAAACTGGCTGTTTTGCTTTGATCTTTAGAGCTCACTATTGGCGGCAATAAATGCCCTTCTACTGTATTATGTTAAATCTTATATTTCAAGTGAACAAAAGGAAGTGAACAAAATAAAATCTATCTTAACCCAAAAGCCAGCGAAAATCAATACAGGCCAGGTTCTTTCACTTGTTACATGACAACTGATGCATAGCAGACCGAATGGGTGCTATCTTCATCATGGCCTACATTTAGTAGTGACATGGACAGAAAAGGATGCTCATTATTACACTTAATGGCAAAGGAATGAATGCAGCATGTACATCATATGCAGGAAAGGTGATACAGAGCTTAAGGCTGTCCTGTACAGCCTCTTGCCAAATGCAAAGTCAGGAGTACTGCTCTCTGGATACTGTAGGAAAACATATGTTGGGTCTGCAATACTTCTCTGTAGACCAGCAACAGATCAACTCTGGGAGTCAGTGCTTCTCCAGCAGTCAGAATGGCACTGATGTGCCCCAAAGACAGATTTAGAAGAAAACTGGTGGGGTTCAAAGGAACATACTTTTTTTGCACATGTGGACATTTGAATATAGGCTTTTGTTACTCTCCCATATACCTTAGAGTATATATATATATATATATATATACATATATATATAAAAATTTGGCATCTTTCCCATGGAATGAGTATGTTCTCTCTATAGAATGCATAATGTCCTGTCAGGCTGTCATCATTTGCACACAAAAGTGAAGGGAGAAGTATGTGAATGTAGACACAGTGTAGAATGTAAAGACACAGCCTGTGTTTCTTACAATTGCTGAGGGACTTGTATTGGGTGAGTAATGCAGAAACCTGGATGTCAGGCTCTGAATACTGTATCAAAGGAAGATTTGAAACAGCAACATGAAATTAACATAATCACTGTACTAGACAGGCATATTAGTTCACTGAACTTCTATCTTCATTAAATTTGTAGTTCATTACTTATGCTTCTGACAGAGAAGCGTGGATGTATGCAGCCCACTTTTGCTAAGTGTTTTTGTGTATTAATTTTTGCCAAATACTACTATTTAAAAATATTTATTTAGAAAGTACTTCATGTCTTTTTCAGGCTTGTTCAAATGAGTCGGCTCAGACATTTTAGAGCTGTTCCCAAATTATTTCAATTGTCCACTTAGGAGTAATTAAATGTAAGCCAGAAATTGAATGGCTTAAGTTTTTAGGGAATACAAATATAGAAGGCCTGAGCAAGGTGTTAGTAATTTATTTTATTTATTGTTGCATTTACCAGCTTCCCTTTGACAACCTATAGAAACAGCTCCAAGATTGACGATTTTCATCATCTCAGTCTGCTTCACTGGCATATCATAATGAATTTCACTCCATGTGGTGCTGCTTTAGATATTCAACACAACACAAACTCAAGTCTCATGCTACTTCTTGTGTTTGCTTTAAGATATGAGGTTGTTTTAACACCATAAAACAACACCGCTTGCATATAATTCTTTATCTTGTCATTAGGACTTTTTCTTTCTTTAGATTTTTTGCCTTTGCATATTTCTGCTGTTTGAGTTCATATTTTAAAGTTTTATTCCACACTTTAAAAAGCAAAGTTTTTTAGCCTGTTTTATTAAGAAAATGAGACAGATGTTACCTATTGTCTATCTGTGCCCGTCCTTGCTAATAATTTGGGTACATTAGTCAATTTCAACTCAATATAACAAAGAGAAGTGTTAAGTGAAAAATATAGAGAAAATAGCTTTCTGAAAACAGTAGATTTTTTCCTTCAGTGTGAAGAACATCTTTGTAATGATCTGACAGTTAGACACGAACAGATTCGTGTGGGATCTTGGGAATTTAAATGGAGGTCTAAATCCACCAGATAATTCTCATTGATCTTTCTGAAAACCAAAATAAAATCTTCCATAATGTTTATTTCTCTTATGTTGTTGATTTTTTTTAATTTTGGGCTTCAGCTGAAAGCGTAGTGTGACTGCCATCACATACCAAAAATCACTTCTGACATTTATAATGTAAATATTGATAGTAGGTGACACAAATGACTCCACGGTAGATAGAAAGTGCACATGAAGGCTGGAAATTCCACTGATGTCCCAGTGGAAATCCTGGCATTTACCATGTACCTATGAGCTCAATTTCATGCACCTTCAGGTCTGATGGATGTAACTTTTCAGCAAAAGAGATAAATAGGAAATACTATGAGACACAAACGTGACCACAAATCCTTTGTATGGGAAGTGAAGGAGTTGAGAGATATCCTGAAGTGCTGGCTATCAAGAGGGGTAAGGTCAGCACACTGAGGATTCCAGGGGAATACCAAAGTTATTAAATGCTGACATAGGATAATGGTCTCCCACTGGCATATCAATGTGGAGATATTTGTGGGTAATTAATGTCAAAGCCAGGCAGAGATGTTTGTGTTTAAAGGAGATACTGATCCCCTGGCACAGAACCAACATATAATGACTCTATTTCCCTTATACCAATTGATTGGGCCACTATCAATTATTTTATCTGATGGATGTTAGTGCAGTAGAGTGACGGTTGCTATAACATTATTGAATTCCTTGATATAACATTGATCGCTTCAGTTAGTTTATACTTCCTCTAGATCATAGCAATCATAGCAACCATGGAGTGTCACATACAAAATATGCAATTTTTATTCTGTGAAGATTAAAGTAATAATTGTAGGAAAAAAGAATATGTATGAATAATAATAATTATCTCTGTATGAATATACAGAGATTTGGAGGGAGAGGTTGTCATGGGGTTTCTCTTGTTTGTTTGTTTGCTTAGTATGTGGGGGAGGGGGGTTGTTTGTTTGTTTATGATCTGGTAGGGATACTTTTGGAAGGCTTCTAGCCCAAGTCAACCTGTGATAAAAAAGGTCATCACACAACTCAACTTTATGGCTATGTATTAGCAGATTACCTTAATCAGCTTTTGTATTGTTATCTTTTTCTCAGACACAGGCTAGGTCAGTCACTCACAGTGGTCAGAGACTCCCATCCTTTCTTCCATCACTAAGCCTGTTGGGTTCTTTCTAATGCTCCTCCCTCCTGTGTTGTTAAAAAAAACCCAACACCACCAAAAAAAGCCCTGACATGAGTAGTCTTAAGCAGATCATATCTATGTTATGTGGATCAATAAAAAGTGTGATTTATGCTCAGGGAAATCTGCTTTGCTTCCCCTGTACCCCCAAAATGATCCAAAAAGTTGTGAAAAAGTTTGAGAGAAGAAAAATTAGATCAATATTCTTTTATATAAAATAGAAAAAAAATGGAGAATTAAAAAGTAAATTATCAATTCTACTGAGATCACAACCTGCTACGTTCTCAGGAGCTATTCTTTGACTTTCTTTCATGTGTTAACTACGATACTACTTACTGAGTCAATATAATTTCATCCTTTTCCTGCAGACCACATAATGGAACTTCCCATGTATCAGTTTTAGCAAAAGTTTTTCCTCCATATAAATAACTGAATTCTGAATCTGTCTGTATCACTTGGATTGCTACCAATTAGTCCTACACACTTATGAAAGACCTCCAAAATTACTATAATAAATGCGGGGCTCAAAATATATCCAACTGTTGTACGTGCAAGAGTGCTTCATCTTCTTTAGACTTTATGACAGACAATCAAAACTGAATATGCAGAGGGATAAAAGCCAGCCCATAGAGCAATGTATTAATGCTGTTCTTGAAACACTATTGCCCAAGACTTTCTGACACTTGTCTGTTTCAATACATGTACAATGAAAAAGTTTTTGTGTGAATAGTCTCTTTGACTTTAGAAACTTGCTCTTAAATTAATTAGAAGACCTTCCTATGG